CCGCCACTCACCGTTGCCCTTCCTTCCAGAAGGACTTCAGGAAGCCCCAACGCGTTGCCGGCCCCTACTTTCCTTTCCACCCCTTTCCCAGAGCTAGGCCCTGTGACGCCTGCCAGAACCACCGGGGGTAGGGACAACACAACCTGCGTCCTTGACGGTCGGAGCAATCTAGGTGGTGTGGCTAGCCGCCTGTAAAATGGAAATACATGACTGCAAATCAGAAACGGTTCTTAAGAACTGTAAACAGGGACAGCAGCTCAACCCTCACCCGGAGCCGGGAGCGCGGCCCCCAGCTCCCTCCCTGACCACCCCCCCCCCCAGGCCAGCACAAAGCGGCGACCCTTCAGCCTCTCCCCCACCACACCTGCAACCTTTTCTCCTTTGAGACGCGAGGAGTGGAGGGCAGCACCCACCCAGCTGCGCCCACCCGCCTGCCGCCGGGAGCTGTCCAGGGTTTAGTACTGAAAGGGGGCGCAGAGGTGATGGGGCACGCCCTGCTTTCCCCAAACCTTCCTATTCCAGTCCAGCGTGGGAACCTTTGTCCGAGAAGTCCCCTGGGCACGACAGGAGGCATATGATCCCTCGCCATACAATGCAGGCCAGGAGCCCGGAGAGCCAGGAGCTGCCCAAGGGTCCCTTGCCTGTCCTCTTCCCACCCCAACACCTTGAGGGTCGCCCTGGCTCCACTGACTGTTGTCCCTACCCCACCCGTGTCTGAGACGCCTTTAGAAAATCACCAGGAGACTAAAAATAATTACCGCGAAAGGGATTGTAATTAGAGGGGGGCAGCCTGAGCCAAAGGGAGAGGTCGCCAAAAGGGTGGGGGGCAAGGGCTGAGGGCAAAGACTACAGGTCCCCATCCCCACCACCAGGGAGGCTCCAAGCTTGAGAAAGGCAGAGTGGGAGCGGGTTAAACGCAGAGGCTGAGAAAGAGCCGCAGGTGGAGGTGCCAAGAGCAGCGCCAGGGAGAGGGGCAAGGCAGGCTGAGGGGTGGGGCCGGTGAGAGTGCAGGGAGGTGAGAAGCCCCCAAACCGAGGGAGGTGCGAGCAAGAGTAGCTCCAGAAGAGACCTGGGGGAGAACACGTGGCCCTCAAACTTGGAAGTGGGCTTCTGGGGCCTCAGAAAACATTAGAGTAACCGGGGAGAAGGTAAACTGGGGGAGGGATCCCCGAGGCCGCCCCCAACCGTCCACACCTGCAGAGAGGCCTGACCCGCGGTCCCTTGCGCCTCTTGGAGAGAAGAGGCCAAGGAAGAGAAGGGGAGGAGAGTCCCTCATCCCACTTTCCCCCACCCCGCCTCAACGAAGGAGGGGAGGGGGCTCATAACCCGGAGCTAGAGGGAAAGCAAGGCGGGGGACGGGGGACGGGCAATCCGGTGCTGCTACCCGCGGAAGATTTATGGCGGCGCCTGGGTTCCAAGGGCAGGCTGCGCTCGCCGCCGAGCTACAGCCGTCGGTAGCCACCGTGGCCGCGGCACCCCCCGCCCGGGCAGCCCTCCGCGCCCCGGGCCATCCCTGCGATTATTAACTTCTGTTTGATTAGGGTAATTGTTCAAACTTGGGCTGGACAGTATGATTAATTACAGTTTAATTAACGTGTCCATTAAGGACACTTAATGCCACGGGGGCAGGAAGGGGGGCGGGGATTGAAGAGGCGATTGGAGTGCCTGGGTATGAGCGAGGAGCAAGTGTGGGACGTGGAGTTGGGGTGCGATTGGAACCCCAAAAGGAGACGGATAAGATTGAGGGAGAAGATCCGGGCCCCTGGGGTGCCTGGGAAGGGACCTACCGAGAGGGGTCCAGGGAGACGGAGCTGTGAAGTGAAGGTGCGTCGGCGGCGCAGGGGAGTGACCCCCTTGTCCATCCCCTCCCCCCCCCCCCATTCTCGCCATCACCTCTGCTGGGAACTGAGTTCTGAACCTCGAAATAGTAGTTAAACTGGACTTCCGCCCTGCGCCTATCAGTGATGGCGAGGGGGAGGCACTCATTGCTGGAGCACGGGACCCAGGGGTCCAGACCCAGTTCTCAAGTTCCCCGCCGAGGGAAAGCGGCAGGAGGGCGCCGTTCCCCAGGCTGGAGCCCTGCAAACGTGTCCCCGCCTAAGCTTGGAGCAGCGGGAGCAGGCACATATTCCCCGTTCCCAGCTATCACCAGTGTCCAGTAACCCTTCCTGGTCCCGCCTTCCCGCCCCCACCCACACCCTCCCTGACTCTGCTGACCATGCTGGCTGTTTAAAACCACCGACTTTAGCTTTTGCCAGCGACCCGAAAATGAGGTGTTTCTCGCGCTCCCTTGCTCTGCGCTCCCGCTCAGCTCTACCGCTAGGCTCCTGCCCCCTTGGCGGGCAGCTCTGGTTCCTTCCCCACTTGGTTGTTGGAAGTAAACTTTGACGCCCCAGGCCCTGCCTCCCATTTGGCGTCTGCGGCTAGTGTGGGCCGCAGGTGCGGGGCGCAGGGCGCAGGTGTGCGGCCTCTTACCTGGGGCGCGCAGGCCCTGGGGCTGTAGGGAGGCGGCGGGCGCGACGCGTGGCCCGCGGGTGGGCGCCCCCGTGGCGGACACGAGTGACTGCGCGAGTGGTGGGTGTGGCGCCCCGGCTAGCAGCTCTCAGGGACGCGCCCGTCCCACGTCGGCCTCGGCACCGGGGGAAGTAGGGGGGCCTTGACCGTGCCGCGCGCCCCGCCACCGCCTCCGCCTCACCATGTGCTCCAGGTTCCGTCCTCTTCTTCGGGCCAGTTTCTGGCCTCGGGCACAGCGGCGCAGGGCTCAGGTCTCCGCGCCCGGGGCCCCGGCGGCCCGCGTCTGCTGAGGACGGGAGGGGCCGCGGGTAGGAGTGCGGGGAGCGCGGCTGTGTGTGTGTGTGTGTGTGTGTGTGTGTGTGTGTGTGTGTGCGTGCGCGCACGCGGGGAGGGACCGCGCCGTCACCCGGAGAGCCCGGCGGATTCCGGACTCCCGCCCGCCGCCGCCGCCGTGCACCTCCGCTCGCCGCTCGCCCGGCTCCAGCCGCCGCACGGTGAGTACCCTTGGGCGGTAGCCGGCAGCCCCCAGCGTCCTGCCCCTCGGGCTCCTTTTCGTTTAGTTCTGATCTGGGTTGTCGTGGCCGCTCGTGTGCATGATACCTAACGACTCCAGCGCCTGGCTACCACCGCCGCCCGCCGCCGGCCTCGCCGCCCTTCCCGGGCTTGCCCCTGGAGCCCCACGAGCCGGTGACGCTTCCCCGAGCTGTCCTGCCCGGCCCCGCTGCTCCCTGCCGCTGGGTACGGTTCTCCGCCCCGTGCTTTTTCGCTTGGGCCCCCGGAAGACTGTGAATGTCTTGGGGTCCTCCTTCTGATCTCGGGGCCCAGAGCCTCTTCGTCCGTCCTGGTTCACCCAGGGAAAACACCTGGAGGACTCGGGACCCTCCGCGGCTGGCCGGCGGGGGAGGCGTTGCGGGAGGGCGCTGTCTTCACCATATACGGACCCCGGCACACTGGACGATTTGGGGGGGGGGGGGAATCTAGAAGCCATCGCCATTTCCCGGAGCCCTGCGCGCCACCCCCCACCTCTCCAGCCACCTCCGCAGCTCGGCTCGAGCCCCCAGAACCTCGCTGCCCCCTCAGCGGGGGAGTCAAGGCGGTATGGGTGCTTTGCCTCCTAGGACATTGGCTGGGACTTGAACGCCAAGGAAGGGTCAACTTGTTTCAGTTTGATTCGAGAGATAAAGATAAAATGGGTGGTAGATAAATAGCTTGATATTTGATGAAGGTACCAGACAGGTGCGAGAAAGAGGAGCGAGCCCAGGGAGACAGATAGCTCAGGGACAGATAAGATCTAGCGCGGAGCGGGCTCCTAGTCAAACAGGGAGGGAGATAGGCGCGCTGACAACAGATTCGTTTCCTGGCCAGAGAAGGCTTTTGGACTCCTGTCGGGCTGGATGTTCCCTCTGAACATGGATTTGCCTTTCCAGCTTTCTAGCCCAGGACCACGGAGGGGCCTGAGGGACTGGGCTGCCCTGGCTGGCTGCTGGAGCACCGCAGCAGCCGTGGGCCCCGGCTCAAGCCTTGCATGTCTGGAGACACGTGTCTGGGCTGAGCTCCCCACAGGGCCCCCCAAGCGCTGGCCCTAGAATGCCCCTGCTGTTGAGGTCCTCTGCCCTGCCTTGGCCAAGAGAGTAAAGCTTTGGATACGCAGCGACTTTTGTGCCTGGCGCCCTGCGGTGGCTTCGAAGACCAGTCTGGGGAATTCCTCCTGTTCCCTATGGGATTGGGACAGCGGGTCGTGAAAGGCATTCAGAAAGGAAACGCCCCCCTCCCCCTAAAAGAGGCAGCGCTGAGCCTTGGTTTGGCCCGAGTGCAAAGCGAGCAGCTGAAGGCGGAGGGCAGAGTGGGTCGTTGTAAGTATTAGAAGTGACTCCGGAGAAACTTCCAGGGAGCCTTCGGCGCTGACCCAAAGGGAAGCAAGCTTTAAAAAAAAAAAAAAAAAAAAAAATCAGTGCGGAGGATGTGGTTAGGAATTGCAGGATCGCCGTCCCACTGAAGACTGCCAAACGGCTTCTATATCCCAGCCGGAATATTTTCTGTTCAATGAACGCGGGGTTCCGGGTGTGTGGAAAGTGGCACTGCTGCTCCCCGGAAGGCTCTGGGCTGGGTGGGTGAGGGTTGCCGCGGGCTGGGCGCGCGCGGCGCCCTTTGGAGAGTGTAGGGTTCAGCACCGTGAACAGCGGTCTCCGCGGCCTCTCTCCCGGCCCCGCAGCCCCTCCTGCCCCTTCTCTTCCTTGCCCTCTCCAAACCCGGGCTGTCTGGAAATGGGCAGTGACCTTCCCTCCCCCACCTCCCCACCCCTCTCTGGGCTGTCCCCCCCCCCCAGCTTCCCACCCCCCTCACTCGCGTGCATGCGCGACTGAGCCAAGGGGCGGCCCGGTCTCCAAAGTCCGGGCTTCAGGACCTGGGCCAGCAAGGCTGACTGCGAAGGTGGCCCTGGGAAGGGGCACTGAGTCCTCGCACCCGGGGAAAGCCTGGACCTGGTGATGGCTTTGCTGTGTGGCCTTGGGCAAGTCCCTCTGAGTCTGGGTTCCACTTTTTCCCCAATCGGAAAATGGGTTGGGGTTTCCAGCTGCACGGTGTATTCCCTCGAGAGGTCTCCTTCCTCAAACCCGGGGGCTGCGCTTTTATTTGGGAGCCAACGTAGGTCTGAGTAACAAAAGACACACGTTCAGGGGACAATGATAAGTCTGGACCCCCGCTGCCAAGTGTCCCCCGGCGGGCCCGACTCAGCGCGCCCCGCTGGGCGGGCCCTAGGCATAGTGGCGGCGGCGCTGAAAGTGGCTCTCATCTGCTCTCTGCTTTCTCTGTTTCGCAGGAGCGGCGGCATGGAGGCTCTCACCACCCAGCTGGGGCCAGGACGCGAGGGCAGCTCCTCGCCCAACTCCAAGCAGGAGCTACAGCCTTACTCGGGCCCCAACGCTCTCAAACCCAACCAGGTGGGCGAGACATCGCTGTATGGGGTGCCTATCGTGTCACTGGTCATCGATGGCCAGGAGCGCCTGTGCCTGGCGCAGATCTCCAATACGCTGCTCAAGAACTACAGCTACAACGAGATCCACAACCGCCGCGTGGCCCTGGGCATCACCTGCGTGCAGTGCACACCGGTGCAGCTGGAGATCCTAAGGAGGGCCGGGGCCATGCCCATCTCGTCGCGCCGCTGCGGTATGATCACCAAGCGCGAGGCCGAGCGTCTGTGCAAGTCGTTCCTGGGCGAGCACAAGCCCCCCAAGTTGCCCGAGAACTTCGCCTTCGATGTGGTGCACGAGTGCGCTTGGGGCTCGCGCGGCAGCTTCATCCCCGCGCGCTACAACAGCTCGCGCGCCAAGTGCATCAAGTGCGGCTACTGCAGCATGTACTTCTCGCCCAACAAGTTCATCTTCCACTCGCACCGGACGCCAGACGCCAAGTACACCCAGCCCGACGCCGCCAATTTCAACTCGTGGCGCCGCCACCTCAAGCTCAGCGACAAGTCGGCCACGGATGAGCTGAGCCACGCCTGGGAGGACGTCAAGGCCATGTTCAACGGCGGCACGCGCAAGCGGACTTTCTCCCTTCAAGGAGGCGGTGGCAGCGGGGGCGCCAGCGGTGGGGCGGGCGGGCAGGGGAAAGGGGGTGCCGTCGGCGGAGGCCCGGGGTGCGGCGCCGAGATGGCACCAGGCCCTCCACCCCACAAAAGCCTGCGCTGTGGCGACGACGAGGCTGCGGGACCCCCGGGGCCGCCGCCTCCTCACCCGCAGCGGGGACTGGGCCTGGCGGCCACAGCCAATGGCCCAACCGGCCCTGGAGGACCGGGGGCAGGTACCGGTGTGCGTAGCTACCCGGTGATCCCGGTGCCCAGCAAGGGCTTTGGGCTCTTGCAGAAGCTGCCCCCGCCACTCTTCCCGCATCCGTACGGTTTTCCCACGGCTTTCGGCCTATGCCCCAAAAAGGACGACCCAGTGTTGGGCGCTGGCGAGCCCAAGGGAGGTCCGGGCGCTGGCGGAGGCGGCGGCGGCGGTGGTGGCGGCGCGGGCACTGGTGGTGGTGCGGGCGGCCCCGGGGCCGCACATATGGCTCCGGGCACAGGGGCAGGCCCGGGCGGCGGCGCCATGTTCTGGGGACATCAACCCTCCGGGGCCGCGAAGGACGCGGCGGCGGTGGCTGCAGCGGCCGCCGCCGCCACGGTGTACCCGACGTTCCCCATGTTCTGGCCTGCGGCGGGCAGCCTGCCGGTGCCACCCTACCCGGCTGCGCAGAGCCAGGCCAAGGCCGTAGCGGCCGCCGTGGCAGCAGCAGCGGCAGCGGCGGCGGCGGCCGCGGGGGGTGGCGGTGGCGCCGGCGGCCCGGAGCCCCTGGACGGTTCCGAGCCAGTTAAGGAAGGCGGCCTGGGCGCGGAGGAGCGCTGCCCGAGCGCTCTGTCCCGCGGGCCGCTGGACGAGGACGGAGCGGATGAAGGGCTGCCTCCACCCCTGGCTCCGCTGGCGCCGCCGCCACACGCACGCAAAGGCTCCTACGTGTCCGCCTTCAGGCCCGTGGTCAAAGACGCCGAGAGCATCGCGAAGCTTTACGGGAGCGCCCGCGAAGCGTACGGAGCAGGACCTGCTCGGGGGCCTGGGCCGGGCACCGGGACCGGAGGCGGCTACGTGAGCCCGGACTTTCTGAGCGAGGGCAGTTCCAGCTACCATTCTGCCTCCCCCGACGTGGACACGGCGGACGAGCCCGAGGTGGACGTTGAGTCCAACCGCTTCCCCGACGACGAGGGCGTCCAGGAAGAGCCTGCACCCAGCGCGCCTAGCACCACCAGCGGCCCGGACGCCGATCCGGCCGCCGGGCCCCCTTCTGCCACCTCCTCGGGCGCGGACGGCTCTGCAGACTCTCCCGAGGCCGGCAGCCCCCGCCCCCGGCGTCCCCGCCTGGGACCACCTTCTGCCAGCCGGTCCGCCTTTGGGGACCTGGCGGCCGACGACGCGGTGCGGAGACCGGAGAGGACCCCACCGAGCGGTGGCTACGATCTGCGCGAGCCATGCGGGCCCCTGGGGGGCTCCGCATCCGCCAAGGTGAGCCCGGGGTCCGCCCCACCGGTAACTCCTGTCGGGGCTCAGCCCTGGGCGCGGCCCGGTCACTGGGCAGCCCCGAGTCCGCAGGGGAAAGTGTAATGTACGCAGCTGTGGCAGCAGCAGGCCCAGCTTCTCCAGGCAGGTCCAACCTCTGGCACACCACAGAGCCCCCCGACTCCGCGGGAGAGTTTCGGAGGATCGGGGATGGGGTCGGCGGTGGCCGGGGGGGGGGGGGGGGGGGCAGGGAAGGGTGGCGAAGGAACGTCAGAGTTTTGCTTTTGTTGTTGGAATTGGGGAAACCAGCGGAGATTACCTGCCACGCAGAGAAAGGCAGGTGTCTGAAGGAAGAAAGAGGACAAATGGAGTCACAGCAAAGCGCTGGCGTGGCCAGGCCCTGAGTGTGCGCCCGCGAGGTGGGGTTCAGAGCTCTGGGGAAGGGGACGAATCGGCGCCCTGGAATCTCCCACCGGCCCCAATTCGTAATGTTCCGAGGTTGTTCCAACTGCCTCCTCTGGGACCGCAGGCAAGGGTGGTCGCAGGGGAGCCGGGGTGGGGGGGTGGGTGGGCGAGCTCGCAGGGAAGGTGCAGCATTGGGGCTGGAGAGGCTGGGTGCAGCTAGGTAGGAATTGTGGTCTTTTGCAAAGTAGATGCGCACACCTGTACATTTCCGTTCGGGTCGTTAGAACCCGAATCACTCACCGGATGTCAAGGGGGTTGTTCCTACTGGTGCTGCGGCCCGGAGCCAGAGGAGAAATGGGAACGCGCAGAGAAGCAGACGCCCTGAAACGGCCACTGGCGCCGGATCCGCTTTGTTTCGAGCAATTTTCTCGCGGGCGCTCAAAATTACCCGGAATCGGCTACAGCGCTGCGGGCTCCCGGGGCCGTGCAGTGTGCATCCCCCCGCAGCCCCGGGCGCTCGGACTCTCCGATTCCCCTACAACCTTCCCAGCCCCGCCACCCACTCGGCTTGGTTTCTCAGTCGCCCGGCAGGGCTGGGGGCGGGGGGAGGGTCCTGGCCGCCGCGGAGCGCCCCCACACCCACTCTACCCCCTAATCGTCTGTCATTTCTCGGCCGCCGCAGGTGTCCGCGCCGGAGAGAGACGAGTACGCCAAGAGCGCGGCGGCGCTGGGGCCCGCGGCCTCCTACCTCTGCGCCCCCGAGGCCCACGGTAACGCCCAGCGAGGTCACCGGCCGCGGGCCTGGGGTGGCGTAGTGGGGATGTGGATCGCAGGTCAAGGGCCGGCTGGGAGAGGAGGGCGGAAAAAAAGACAAAGAAACAACGAGGCAGCAAAGCTAGAACTCCCAACAACTTTAATCATTTGGTCACTCGAAAAACCCGCGTACACACACACACACACACACACACACACACACGCACACACACCCCTAGCTCTGGGAGGCCCCGGTTGCTCGATTAAAACCTTGTAAAAATCACCCTCGGCCACTAGTGACGTCCGCTCATTTATTCAGCGAATGTGTCTGGCCGCAGGGTCCCCTGTGGTCAGGCAGGATCTTGGAGAACGGTGAGGGTTGCTTGGGTGTCCCAGAAGTGCCGGAATCGCTTCGGTTCCCTGTAGGGTGAAGGATGGGGACCCTACACTTGCCCAGGGGTCCACGTTGCCCTCTGGGGAGGGACCGGGGCTTGCCAAGATAGCCAAACCGACGACCTAGCCCCCTCCTGCCCCTGCCGTCGCCTCACCCCTACTGCGGCCAGCCAGGCCGCCCCCTGGACTGCGTTCTCGGCTGAAGTCGCGCGGCCAGACCCAGCAGCCAGGCGCGTTCCTGGTGCCCCAGTATCTGCGCGCAATGTAGGTCGCTCATCCCTGGTGGGCTCGGCTGCTTTTCTCGTTCTTTTCCGAGGGGCTGAGGCCGGGTGGGGGCGTTCAGCAGACTCTGTGAGCGGGCCGGGGTAGGAGAGGATCCCCCAACCCCATCCCCACCTCCAGCCTCGGGGTTAGGTGCCTGGCCCGGCGCGCAGCCGGGAACCCAAGGCGGCAGCGAAGCTTTTAATTAGGGCTTGGGCTCCCAGACCGCGCGCTGCAGCTCCGGTAGGATCCGGGTCAGTTTCTTTGCCTCTCCTTGAAAACTCCTGGTTTATTGCTCCTTCAGAGCCAGATAAGGAGGACAATCACTCGACAGCCGACGACTTGGAAGCCCGGAAATCCTACCCAGACCAAAGGAGCAACTCTCAGCCAAGTCCTGCAAACACAGAGCGAGGTGAGAGCTCTAGGACTTCTGGCGGGGACCCTGATCGCCCAGGTCACCCCAGGCTTTTGCAAGGCAGGTTTTCCCATTAGTCAGTCCTCTTCCCCTGCCAGCAAATGGATCTTTAAATAAAGGCATGCGAGGAGGTACAGCCCCACTGGCTGCCTGGCTCCCTCCTGGATGTTTTCTGGTTCTTCCGGGTAAGGAGGAGGGTCGGAGGATCTAAAAGGAAGTGGAGGGATAATCTCATGCACCTGTCCTACAGAGAGCAGGGACCCACTCTAGCTCTCCCTGAACCCACTCTGGCTCTCTCTGAAATGATAGTTTGCAAGGTGGGCAATGTTAGAAAGCAGACACTTTGCCTTTCAAAAGCAAAGAGAGACTGGTCCCTGCCCTGGCACAGCTCCCAGGAAGCTGGGCCCTCCCCCATCCAAGGCTTCTCCCTGGATGGAACCCCTCCACCTCACTCCACCTCACTCCACCCTTCTTACTTGTCCTGTGCCCCAGGAGAAGATGGGCTCACCCTGGATGTCACTGGAACTCAGCTGCTGGAGAAAGATATTGAAAACCTGGCCAGAGGTGAGGTTCCACCTGTGAAATAGAAAGGGGGGATTACATAAAGTCTGAGGGACAGCGAGTGTGGAGAAGGCCCCGGGCTGTTGAGAGGGTCCCTTTCCATTGTACAGAATGGCCAAGACAAGGCCCCCTGGAGGTGTCTTGCACAGAGGTGTGGGGAGAGGGTAAGGGTGTGAACCAAGCAAGGTCACAGGGGTTGTATGGAAGTTGGCACGCTGGAGGCCTGGGTTTATCTGAATAACCCAAGGAGAAAGAAATCAACCACAAGTCTTCAAATTCGATGCGTGGGCAGGCAGTCTCTGGATGTCCCCAACTCCCTGGAGGAAGACAGGACTGTTACTGAGTGGCAGGGTGGCAGAGTATGGGTGCGAGAACTTGGCAGTAATGTGGTGCCCTTGGAATGAATGCATAACCACTCGAACCCTGCCCTAACTGGAATGAGGATGGAGTTGGCAGTCAGGGGTCCCAGGGCTGCTCTGTGTGTGCAGGGGGAGAGCAGGCATGGGACAGCAGGGTTGCCAGTCCCTCTGCCTGTCCCCCTCCCCTGCCCGCTTATTCAAAGGTGCTGCCTCATCCTTGGGAGGAGGGGATGGGCCCAACACCAAGACCCTTGTGGTAGGACAGCCCCCTTCCACAGCTGGAAGCTAGGGTCTAAGCCGTGAACAAAACCTTCCACCCTTACCTGCCTGCACTCCAGCCCGAGGAGGGTGTTAGAAATGAATGGGAGAAGGGCAGGGACCCTTGTTCTTCCCCATGGCAGATAGGTGTTCCAGAGTACCCCACCACTTCAGAAGAGCAGGTGCTTGCTAAGCCGGCATGGGTTTGGAGCTAGAGGGACCTCTGGGTTGCAGGCAGACCGTGCCACGTGCATGTTTTGTTTTTGTTTGGTTTGGATGTTTTTGTTTTGTTTTGTTTCTGGGAAAAGTGTCTGTCCCACTGGCCAGATCCCTCCCCTCCCACCCCCCCCCCCACACACACACTGTATTGCAGGGAGGATTTAGGACTGTCATGTGAACTGGGCCATCAGGTTGTCACAGGTCAGCCTCCCTAAGGTAGAAGAATTAAGGACAACTTCAAGCAGATGCCCCAGCCGGGTACTTCCTGCAGCCAGGGTCTTCAAGGGTACCATGGATGACACCATCCTGGGCATCCCACCCACTAGGTTCCCCACCCCTGCCTGGGAGCTTTGGCCAATCCTGTGGAGGCCAATGAAAAGGGAGAACGCTGGAGACCTCTGCCCAGGCTGAGGATCGGGGCTGTTGACCAGAGAAGGACCTGGAACCTTTGGGGGGGGTCCTCGAATCCCCCCTTACCTCTCTTCCCCTCCTTCTTCCCAGACGAATTGCAGAAGCTCCTCTTAGAGCAAATGGAGCTCCGAAAGAAGCTGGAGCGGGAATTTCAGAGTCTCAAAGGTACCCCACCATCCAATCCCAGCGCCAAGCCTTCCCTCCCCAGCAGGTGGAGTAGCAAGGTGCTTGCTGGCAGCTGCCTCTGCCCCGTCCTTGAGGGAAGCCGGGGACTTGCTAGAGAACCCCTGGGCAGAGGTGGGGGGCAGGGGTGCGGGAAGGCGAGTAGTGTGGTGGGGGATGGGGGAAGGGTGCTGGGGGAGGGGGCCTGTGTGTGCATAACAGCTCCCACTTAATCAATTTGCACAGATAATTTTCAGGATCAAATGAAGAGGGAATTGGCTTATCGAGAAGAAATGGTGCAACAGCTGCAAATTGTCAGAGGTAAGCCGGGAGTCAGGTGAACGCGCGCGCGGGGCCGTAAGTGCCTCTCGGTCTGCCAGGAGCCGCGATGTTGGCTCAGTCATTCGGGTTTAAATGGAAGGTAATTTAACAATTATTTTTTTTATTTAATATCCTTTGTATACTCTGATTAGCCTCCGAATGGCAAGTGAGCCCAGCAAAACGGCTTGCAGGCATCATTACATGGAGTGATTGAACTTCTTATCGTGGCAATTTCCATGGTTTCTAAATTAAAAATCGAGGCGTAAAATTACCTGGGAAGTAATGCCTAAGTTTGCTTTAATTTTGGTTAGATCCGTCTGCCTTTAAGCACCATCCCAGGCCATTTCCTCCCTCCCTCATCCTGCAGTTTGGAGCCTGGGGACCCCCTCCCTTCCCCGCCCGCAGCGTCTCTGCAAGGGGGCTGCACCCTAAGGAGGAAGCGAAGCTGGGCTGTGACCCCGGCTGGCAGGAAGGTGGCCCGCTTCTCCTCAGTGCTCCCGCCCCCAATGTCTTCCAGATACTCTGTGTAACGAACTTGACCAGGAACGGAAGGCACGCTATGCCATACAGCAGAAATTAAAAGGTGCGGTCTGGGAGACCAAGATAGGAAGGGCCTCAGGGGAAGCTGGCCCTGCCAGACAGGGGATGAGTGGATGGGTTTATGTGTAGGTGGATGGGTGGGTGGGTGGCTGGCTGTGTGGGTGGATGGATGGGTGGGTGGGTGGGTGGCTGTGTGGATGAGGCTAGCCTTGGATAAAGCTTGGCTCTACATGGATCAAAAGCTGAGTGGATGGAGTGGGAATTTACTTGAACGAGGAATTGTTTTGGAACTGCATAGTAGGGAGAAAAAGTTCCTTGAGCTCTGGGCACTTTGTGGGAACATCTGCCGCCAGGCTCTGATTTCAGCCTTGGGAGAGTCCCCACACTCCTATCACTGTGCCTCAATTTCCTCTCCTGTAAAATGGGCCCATAGAAGCAGGCCAGCGGCTTCGATTTACCAAGGTCTCCCTCTCACCCTTCGGATCCATTTCTGAATTAGCAGGACCGGGTGGGCCAGGGAGGAGGGCTGGCTGGGGGCCTCACCGGTGCGGTGTGGGAGTTGGGGGATGGCAGGTGGGTGAGGCGCCCGACGTGGCTGCACGACTCTCTCCCCAGAAGCCCATGACGCCCTGCACCACTTCTCCTGCAAGATGCTCACGCCCCGCCACTGCACAGGCAACTGCTCCTTCAAACCCCCGCTGTTGCCCTAGGGCGGGCCCCCGCCGCGCCCCCTCACCCCTGCGCCCTCAAGCCATGCTGCTCCGTCCTGCGCAACCCCGCTCCCGCGGCGGCCCAGAGCCAGGAACAAGCCATTCGGACCCGACGATGTAAATACAAGCTGCCCATTTGCCCACCCTCCTCCCGGGCACCCGACGGCGCGTCCCACTCCCTGGTCTGTACGGATTCCCAGTGGAAAACCCACCAGGACCTTCATTGGAACTCCAGGGCGCCAGACCTCACGGGGTGAACTGGACCAGCCAGAGAAGGCCGCGGGGCGGAGGTCTCCCGGCCCCAGCCGTCCCGAGCACCGCCTGGGCCCCGGGTGGGGCTGCGCTGCCTGCGCCTGGGCCCCGGGTGGGGCTGCGCTGCCTGCGCCTGGGCGAGCGCGCGGCGCTCCCCATCCCGCCCACTTGTGAACCTCCTGTCGACAAAGTGGCTATGTGCAATGGGTCGCCGCGGACCGCGAGTCTCGGGGCTCAGGATTAGGCTCACTCTAACTTATTTCCACTCCCAGTGATTTTGCTTTCTTCTCCCGATTCGACCCGTTTTTTTTTTTTTTTTCTTTTTGTCTGTTTCTTTTGGTTGTAACCTCTTGATGTGACAGCACTTTAAAAGGGCAACAACTGACTCACTAGATGGCGATCATCTTGAGCCTGTTTGGGGAGACCACCCTGTATCCGTGACTTTTGTTTTTAATAATAATATAATAATAACAACAATAATAAATTCTGTTCCTCGGGCTGCGGGGTGAGGTGGGAGGAGGGACCGTGCCCCTGGTCTGGGGAGGAGTGGGGGCTGGAACCTGCAGCAAAGAATTTTTAGAATCGCTTTTGCCCAGTTGGGCTCCAGGAGCGTCAGGGTCGTGAAGGCCTCTCCTGGGGCCCAGCAAGGGCACTGGTGCCAGCGTGGTCCCTGGCAACCAGGTCCTTTAAGTGCTCACGGTGGGGCTGGGGGATGTCCGTTCGTGCCCATTTCCACTCCTGCCACGCCCGGGGTTTTCAGAGATCCTTAATCGGAAGCACCCCTTCCTTCCATCCCTCCGCGTAAGGAGTGTAGCGCTGCTGGCCTGGTCCAAGAAGGCTGGTCCAGCGGCCCTCGCTCCCGCTGCACCGCCACCAGAGGGGAGGACGCCCTGGCTGCGTGTTAAAGGATCCGTGCCCGCGGGTCCCAACAAAACGAAGGACGCTGGCCTGGAGGAGTCTGAGGAGGAAGGGGAAACTCGCGGGCACACTGTGCTTTTGGCTCTCTATCGGGATGCCTTACGTCGGGGGGATGAGGTGGCTCCCCTGGCTGCCCGCCTCCGGTCGGTCCCAGTCTCGGAGGTGCACCTGCTTCAGATGGCTGATGCTGAGCACACGGCCTTCGCGTTCCTCCCCGGGGAGGAAAGTGTGGCCAGAGAGGGCCAGCCCCGCGGTACTGCGACCGTCCATCCCTGGTTCCGTTTTCCCTTCCACAGCTAGCTAAGAAGGGGCCAGCGTCCCCGGCGGGGAGGTCAGCCAAGCGCAGTCGCTGTGCGCGGCGGATCCCGCGCCCGGACCTAGTACTGGCTTTCGGAACCGGGTATCTGGTCTCGCGGCTCTGGTCTGGGAGACGCTCGGCGAGCCTCGAGGTGGTGAAGTCTGGGAACAAGCAAGAAGGGGCACGCGGGCTTTCAAACCCCCGGAGAGGATTTGGGCGAGTGAACCGGGGGCAAACCGGGATGCACCTGCAGGGAGCGCGGGAGCCTTTGGCTAGGTGGGACCAACCGAGTCACTTCCCAGGCGGTCCCTTAAGCGACCCTGAGCACAGGGAACTTGGCATCCTCTGCCCACTGCCTCGCTGCACCTTGCAAAGCCGCGAAAATTTTCCTGATCTGGAAAATGGGCACGACTGATTCCACTCCGGCCAGGAGTTCCGTGACTTGGCCCGACAGCCCTCTGCCGCCTAGCGAATGCTCCCCAACCCTTGCTTTTCTGTCCCAGCTCCGCAGAAAACTGCGCCAGCACCTGGGGCCCGCCGGAGGGGGCGTCCCATCTGGGCTCCACATCTCTGCAGATTGGAGGATCCGGCCCAGAAAGCTCAGTAGCTAAAGACCTCCTGGGCTCCGCGTCCCTGCAGAAGCGATTGGCAACCTCCTCCCCTCCCCCCAATGTTAATAACCAAACGATCGGTATGGATGTAATTATCAATAATTATACGAATTATTGCTGATTGCGGGGCTCGTAGCTACTTTAATTAGTTTACCAGATTCTAATTAAGTTAAATGAAACATTAATAGGGAAAATATGCTTTGAAAAAAAAAAAAAAGAACTCCAGGATTTTTTTTTTGAAGTCTATTTCTCGCCGCAACGTTGCCACCTTGTGACTTGTTTGGGGCATGACAAGCTAACACCCGGCGGCCCTGTGTGAGTGAAGCCGCTTGGGACGCGACCCGCCTTCCCCGGCGCGGTGCACCCCGGCAGCCGCTGGGGTAACCCTGTCCTCTCCCACAGGGTGTCCAAGGGGGCCTGGCCCCGGAGGCCCCGTCTGGGCACAAGGGACCCTTGCCACCTTGCGCTGCTCCACTGTCTCCCCCAAGGAATCATGACACCTCTTGGGAATTACAGTGAGACGGCTGGCCTCTGTCCAGGCAAGCCCAGGTGAGTTGCAGCCGCCAGCATCAGGTGGCTTATTGTTGTTGTTGTTATTATTATTATTATTATTATTATTATTATTATTATTATTATTATTTTCTCTTCCTGGGAAGAATCAGAAGGCTACTTCCTATCTCTATGTCATCTGCCAATCCCGAACCCCCCCTCTGTCCCAGGCACCAGTAGGACCCCTCAACTCTAGGGACAACCTGCTCACTCCTGTGACACTCACACCCCACCCCCTGGGCTGTGTGTCCCGATTTCCACAGGACTATAAGTACCTTCACAAGGAATGACAGCTTGCTCTTCCTGAGGTCTCCAACTCTCCCCCAACTCAGTGCCTCTCACCCCCGCGCCCTGACACACAGCCACTGTCCACATGAACGGTCCCCGGTTGGTGCCAGCGATGTCTGAGGGAAGCAACCCCCAGGTGCTTCTGGACCACCGCCACCGGGAAGCAATTAAACCTATTTGCATAAGGTTAATTAAGCACCGGCTTAGTGCTCAGAAAGAAGATCCTTCATCAGTAGGATTTGCTGGGTGCTGGGGGGGGGGGAAGGAGCAGGGTTTCTGCCTAGGAAATGGAGGAACCTTCTCCGTGTTGCCGACCCATTCCGCTGTGGGTCCGCCTGTCCCCAGCTACCCTGCTGTGCCGAGTGCGCTTGGCCAGCACGGGATTTCCAAAGCCGCGCTTGCTTTCCGGGTGTCTGTTGCTGCTACAGAGTCCCAGCTGAGCTGCAGGATGCTTTTCAGGAAGCCCTCCAGAAGGCCTCCTCCTGAGGCCCTCTGCCGCCCCCAGGGACCAGGAAAGGCAGAAGGGATCGGGGTGCTGCCCAGCCTGGTTCCCGAGCATCCACAGAGGCAGCCAGGTCAGAAGGGCGCCCTGCACTGCCCACGCCAGGGCGTGCCGCGTGCGTCTGCTGGAGCAAAGGACCCTGCTGGCCAGGGGCCTGTCCCAGCTGTGAGTCAGCAGCCGCAGCTGGGCATCTCCCAGGACTAGGAGTTGCCAAAGTTTCTCGGTGATAGTCTGAACAGGTTTCAGGGAGCCATTTCTCTCCTATAATTCCATTTCACCGCTGTACACCGCCCATCTCCCAGCCTAATGACATTAGGGTCTCGGCCTTGGCCCTGGCCGGACACCAATAAGGGTCATGGAGGGGGAAGCCAGCTCGCTTGCCCGGCGAGGCCCAGGGCAAGCACCTGCTGCTTCTCGGGCTGGGGAGCCCCTTTCCCGGGCTTTGCTTCTTGACCCCGTGGAGTTCCCGCGCGGCCCGCGTGCGTGGCGGGGTCCCCAGCGAGGCGGATGCACCGGCTTCCTTGCGCAAAGCAATGGGTGTTTCAGAAGCCACCGGGTCTCCACAGGCTCCTGGGACCTGCGCACCTTGCGGGGGAGGACTGTGTTTTCGCAATGGGAGGATGGAGGTTCCGGATCCCGCTTTGGGAAGGGCCGCTGCCCGGGAGGGTCGTGGGGGTCTTGTTTCTGCCACGCTCAGGTCCCACGGGCCGGGAACATTGGCGAGAGGGGAGTAGTCAGTGGGTGCTGCAGTGCTGCTTGTCCTAGGCAGGTGTGAGGTGCACGCTGCTCACCGGGCTTTGCCCAGCTGCCACTCCTCGGTCTGCCGGGACTCCGCACCATTTCCCTTTTGGTCGACAAAAACTGTGCGTGAAATAAAGCGATTGCGTTAAGATCTGAGCATCTCAATCACCCTACACAGGTGCAAAAATATGGAACGCTTCACGAATTTGCGTGTCATCCTTGCGCAGGGGCCATGCTAATCTTCTCTGTATCGTTCCAATTTTAGTATATGTGCTGCCGAAGCGAGCACGAACACAGTGTGCTCTCAAGACGTATATAAAGCCTAATATCTGAAAACCTTTACCGTGATGGTGAGTTCACACGTGGCCAAAAATTTTGAATCACTTTACAGATTACGATTTCCTATGTCATATAATCTATGCTTATATCCTTGGGTTTACGTGCTTTAAAGGAATTGTCTGCCCCATTCTCCTTCTATAATATATGCAAATGAAAAGGCATCATGGGATACTGGCCCTGTGCGCGCGCCTCCGGGGGGCGGAGCCGACGTCAGGCCCTGTTTCGGGGTGCGCGCCGCGCGCTCACGGAGCAGTGGGGCTGGGGCGCTCCGAGGTGACCCCGCTCACTGATCCCCGGGCCTCCCAGCAGTCCGTGGGCGCCGCGAGTGCATTTTTGGGGCGAAGGAGTCATGGCGGCTCTGAGGGCCCCGCTGGAATCCCCGACCCGAGAGACCCCAGGAAGCTCGCTAGGCGCGGGTCGGGCCACTTCCCTCGCAGGGGCCGTACCCCACTTGATCGGAGTGGGGGGCAGGCCCGGATTCAAGGGGAGGCGGCCTTTCCTG